CCCCACTTTTACATGACACGAACACTTGTCCCAAACTTCCGGCCAACTCCCAAGACTCTCGCGGCTGTCACCCTCGCGATCGTCTCACAACATCCACAAAGTGAGAACCTCCTTTCCGAAGCGGAAAGGAACCCCTACCTAAGCGCTTAGAACTCTGCACGGAGTGTCTCTCCCAGTGTGTCACGTCTCTATTTACAAGTGAAAGCCCCCTTTTCTAGGTCACGAAAAACCAAAGCACCGCCCGAGGGCACGGAAAGGCAAAGAAACCATGGGAGATGGAGGACCCTTGCAGACCAATGGCGCTGGAGAACCTTGCTCTTACGCTTCGAGCTCTACAGTGGCAAGAGGGTCAGCTCTTCTTTCTCATGGTCAGATCCAGTATCTTATCGGGCAGGAATTGTGCTCCTCGCTGCAAAAATCCTATTCACTAATGGAGCCCACTCGCTTAGCGGAAGGTTCTTTTCTTTATAAAATTGCCCCCGAAGACTTCTTCCTTTTGCCCCAAAACGATTTGCAAAATCTGCGGGACCCCCATGAACAGCCTCTGCAAACGGCAACGTTTCATTAGGAGAATGGCCCATTGTTGTCCATGCTGTAATAGATCAGCGCCACACAATATAGCCCAAGATGGATCAGAGCCAGTGTGTTTCAGCTGGCTGTTCAAGCCCCAAACCAGATCTAAATAATTAAAAGAGTTAGAAAAACAGCTACTTCTGAGATTAAAACCTAATTAAAACCAAACATTTTTATTAAAAGAATTTCAAAAACATACTAATTTCCTAATTATTATCAAAGATTAAAAATTACATCTAAAAACCTATTTTAATAAAATTTTAAATTCTAAAGTTTAAAGAAACACATCACAAAACTAGCATAATGCTCAGAAATTAAAACTAAAGGAAAAATCTAAGAATGATTTTACCAGAGGAACAAATATTAAAATCTAGATGTATACATCCACACTTAGACACCTTCCCCTACTGGGCCAGGACCAACAACTAAAAGAAAAAAGCAAAGCAAAGACTTGTTCAAAAAAACTACGACAAAAAACAAGAACTTTAAATCCCTATTTCAGCTTATTCTTATTCCAAACTGCAAAAATTCCCAACCAATTCTCGCTATTTATCCATCAGAACTGCAGCCACAGAATTCTCCACTTTAAAGAGTCAAACTTCAGCAATTATTTTCAGCTACGCATTATACACAGTAATCAATCTCTCTCAGCAAAGCCAACATATGAACCAAGTGCAAGTCAGTCTAACCTAACAGGGTTTGTAGGTATGCACTCAAATCACTCAAGTGTTTCGGGACAATCTGATTTCACTCATCATGTCCTGCAACATACCAGACCATTCCCACTTTGCAAGCCTCTAACTGACAGTGCTGGATCACGGTTTCTACCTCAAAGGTCCTTTAATTTCGTACTGTTCATGGACTGACATGGAAAACAGACACAAGAACGAATGGGACGCAATAGTAGAGAACTGTGATGCCAAAGGGATATCCCTAGACACTCAGGAATACTCTTTTCTCTAACTTTGGCAAGATGATTGTTTTTTTGCTTTTTCTCGGGTTCCTCTTTCTATTTCATCACGTTCAGGTCTTTTTCCCATTTCTTTTTGATTGTTGCTCCTCCATACTGTTTCTTTCTTTTCCCCCAAACAGCTTTTTTTTCCAACCTTTTTTTTTCTTCTTTTTGACTTCTGGCCCCTCTTTTACATGCACTCACCACGTTTAGCCTTCTCCTACAGCGCCAGTCCGACTGCTGATTGTTGGGGCGGCCCTGGCTTGAACTGGATGGACAGCCCCCCGCACCCACGCTCCGGTCCCTATACGGTGCCATGGTACAGGAATGGCACTGGATAAGCTAACCTGTCCACATGACGGATGCCTAGATCCTATCAAGTTACAGAGCAAGCCCATACAAAGCATCCATGCCCAACAGCTGCCATTAAACCTGCATGGTCTCCCCCACCCGCCCCGACCGCCACTGGCCCAACATCTCCTCACGGGTTCCACTTTGTTCACCTGCCTTGCTACCTCATCCTATGTTAAAAATTACTGCATTGCCATGCACTCACCGCCTGTACCCCTCTGCTAGCCCCCCCTTCTGCCCCTCACCGCCAGTCTCCTCTGACAATTCTTCATCTGAAGGAAACAATTTAAAGATAAAATTTGCCTTGCGCATACCCCCGCCTGAAGATCAGCATCAACCGCATCTCAAAGCTCGAAACCAGGTTAGCGACCCGGCCCCTGGGGATCAGTCCTACACTACCTATATATTGACAGGAAGGAAACCTAACCTATTCCTTTAAGGCTACCTGAATCTGCCTCTATCCCGACTGAGCCTTGCCACAAAGAAAGCTCACCCCGCTCAGGAACTTTTAAAAACCAAGTAGCGGAAGAACTCGACCCCATTATGTAAAAGCATCTCATAAAACTTGAAGCCCAAAACCTTGAAAATCACCTGAAGACGAGAACCCCTGACAGACCTACAACAGAAGCCAGAAATAGCTAAGGAAGCCCACAACTACTCGCAAACGCAAAGCCACGGACCGACAGCTTTCTAAACAGATTAAAAAAAAACAGTACGCACCTCAGCTAAACACCATTCCAACCGCCAATGCATGACGGTTACCCCCCTCACGCAACTATTATCACCCCCGCTCCACACACACCCAATGAACAGTTCACAAATAAATGGTATTAAAGGACTACCCAAGAATGGTAAGCTACCAACTGGACCGAACAGTTTCAAAGGCTGAAACTGGTAAGTCTCCTTCAGTAGCTCATCCTTAGGTTTTCTGGAAAACTAGGGTTGTAGTTGCATGCAAAGTAGGTAGTCTAAGTGTTCTGTTTTCTGTGGTTAGATTTGTTTGGAAGAGTCAAGAACATAAGAAAAGCGTAGTTGAACGAAGCCACTTTTGCATCTAGAACAAGTTTGGTTGCCAATCCGGGTAAGGGAAGCTTATATGTTTAATTTATACTTGCATGTTGTATGATCTGATTTGGTTGCATGAAGAGTATGCTGATTTAACTGTCATGAACGTTCGCTGTTAATTGATATGGCATATGTTGGTTGCAATGAATGAATGTGTTTGATATGTATGGATTGAAAGATGAATGATACTGTAATGTATGAGTTATTAATGTGATGAATTTTATAAAGTCTGTAAATGTATGTGGATATGATTTTATAAAGTATGAATCGTATGAAAAATGTTAAAGTTAAGATAGTTGAAAAATCTGAATATGATAACTCCCCTATGATAAATTACGCTCGTCATCGTACGGTCCTATACCGTTCGGTTTCACTAAAAATACTTATAGTAGAATTCTTTCATTTGGGAAGAATTCGGTTTGAGAACGAGCGTCCTCATTTGAATTACTATGTTTGAGCGTTCGGCTCAGCATAGAGTTGTCGTACGCTTTAAATTAAATAATACTGAATTAAGTAACGTTCGGTCTTATACTGAACGTTCGTCCTAAATATCGTTCGGTCTTATACCGAAAGTTCGTCCTAAAGAGCGCTCGGTCTTGTACCAAGCGTTTGTCATGATTGGTTTTCGGTCATCTACCTAGTGTTCGCTTTAATGTAGTGTTCGGTCTTAAACCGAACGCTCGTCCTTATTTTTGATTCCTTAACGAACGTAAACAGCGTTCGTCCAAATAACCAGTAAATGTATATTGGCGCATTCGGTCATTGACTGATAGTCGACCCTTTTAAATAAAAGGTTCCCAATGTAGTTAAGTATTCTCATCGATGTACCTTAGTCCAAGTTGAGTCAACCTGACCTCTTGGTACTTAAAAATTTCTGAAAATGGTCTTATTATTCTGGAGTCTTTCTGATTGTTAATGGGTTATTCTAAATCTGGCTTATAACGTTCGTCCTCTTCCTTCAGAAAGTTGAACGTTCGTCTTTTTAAGAGAGTGGAACATAGAATGAAAATGTTATAAATATGAGATGTTAAGATGTTTGAACGCTATATTAAATGATTATACGATTATGGATTTTGAACGAGCGTTCCAGGGAGGAACGTCTCAGATATGTTAAATATTAAATTTGGTAAAGTATGACTGTGGATAAGTTAAGACTCGCTGTCCATCCTGATGTTCCGTGATGCTCTTCTTCACGTAGAAGAGGGTAGTTCATGTGTGGGAACGGCAGGAGGTCCTTAGTCCATAAGTTAACATGGGCGATGTAAGAACGGACTAACCTCGAGTGGCAGCTGTTGAGAGTGTATCAGTTACTACATCACTCGGGTGCAAGGACGCTTGTACCTACACAGATCATACAGTCCGGACGGTCGTCTTACTTATATATATATATACACATATATAGATGTTGCTTGATTTTATATGTTAAACTATGTGCTTGTGTGGAATGATATGTTCACTGTATGTGTTTTTGTATGAATTAAATTATATAAGCTTACCCTTTCGTTTTTTTTTCTTGTGTTGTCCACTGTTATGTACGTTCGTCCTGTCATTGCAATGATCATCCGTGTGGATGTGAGCAGATGGTGGTGCGTCTCTTGAAGAAATGCTGGAAGAAGAAAATTTGGAAGATGCTAATCTGGTTGAAGTAGAAGTTAAAGTCGAGCCTTAGAGCGCTCGTTAGGTTTTCATATATTAGTCTTTCAGTATTATTATGAACGTTCGGTTAGGATTTTGTAAAACCGTTCGTTATAGTTTAATTCATGTTCCTGTGTTACACTCGTTGTTTTGTATTCAAGCCGTTCAGCTTTTGAACCTTGATCTATTAATGTAAAGACTGCATGGTTTTACTGTTAATTGTAATTAATTCTGATTTATGGTAATTACTGTATTTTGGGATGTTACATTAGTGGTATCAGAGCAGTTTTGTTCTTTTAAGGACATGTAGGGTTATGAGTACACTGTGTTTTCGTTGTGTGCTTATTGTGTGTTTAGTGAGTTATTGTTCTTTTAACTCTTGAACATAATTAACGCTCGTCTTTATCTGTGAACCAGAGAACGAATGGCGCCTAGACTTCCTCCTCCACCGCAGCCTCACGAGCCTGACGCTCCTAATAATGCCAGGATGTTGGAGACAGTCATTGATAGACTGCAACAACAGAATACAACTTTAATAGAGCAGAACGCCGCCTTAATGCGGCAAAATCAGGAAGCCATGCAGAGTTTGGAGGCCTCTCGTGTCAACTCGGAAGCGACTCAGAGGCAGTTGATGGATATTCTTGCCGCAACCAGAGGTGTGCCTGGAGCATCCTCTTCAAACGCTGCCCCACCTGCTGCTGAGTGGAGTTTGGAGAGTTTTCTCCAGCATCATCCGGCTAAGTTCAATGGTAAGGGCCTCCCTGACGAGGCAGATCAATGGCTAAGAGACATGGAGAGGATTTTTAACGCCAAAAGATGTCCAGATGAAAACAGGCTGGCTTACACTAAGTACTTGTTAACTGGAGAAGCGAGCCACTGGTGGGCGAGCGCAAGAGCCATTCTGACGGACGCTCAAATTCCGATCACTTGGGAAGTGTTCAGAAACAAGTTCTATGAAGAATATTTCCCTGACAGCGTCCGCTTTGCCAAGGAGGTTGAATTTCTGCAGCTCGTCCAAGGCGGAATGTCTGTTTCTGAATATACGAACAAGTTCAAACACTTGGTTCGTTTCAATACGATGGCCACTAGTGAGGAGTGGCAGTGCAGAAAATTCGAGAACGGTCTGCGGAGTGATCTGAAGGTATTAATTTCCAGCCTGTGTATCCGAACGTTCCCTGCCATGGTTGAGAGGGCCAAGGTGTTGGAGAAGAACTTGGCAGAGGCGGAACGACACAAGAAACAACAAGCAGTGAGGGGACCGATCGTCTCAAGAGGCAATACTAATCAGAGGGGATCTCCTTATGCTCGTCCAAATCAGTCAGCAAACACAAGTGGGTCTCAAGCCTTGGTTCCTGCCGGACAGTCTGGGCAGCAAGGTAACGCCACCTGTTTTAAATGTGGTGGACCACACTACCGTTCGTTTTGTCCTCAACTGGTAGGTGGAAAACATTGTACTCGATGCGGAAGGAATGGACATGTGGACAATGAGTACAACTTTGGAGGACGAGCGGTAATGAGACCACCAAACGCTGCAAGGAATCAGCCAAGAGGTGGACGAGCACAAGCAGTGGGTCGAGTGTATGCTATCACTGGAGCGGAGGCAGCAAGCGCAGGTAATCTTATAACTGGTGAATGCTTGCTGTATGGAATGCCATGTCGTGTACTGTATGATTCGGGGGCGACTCACTCCTTCATCTCGAAGGCGTGTGTTGAAAAACTGGGAATAGCGGAGAGTGAGATGCAGTTCGACTTGGTGGTATCAACCCCAGCGGCTGGAGAGCTTAGGACATCTACCGTATGCATTAGATGTCCTATTGTGGTTGAGGGGCATAATTATAAGGTGAACTTGATCTGTTTACCTTTGAAGGACTTGGAAGTAATTCTAGGAATGGATTGGTTGGCTACCAATCACATTATTATAGATTGTGGCAAGAAGGAGTTAGTGTTTCCTGAGAATGATGAAGAAGAGTTATCGGTAACGCTCGGTCAATTAAAGGAGGATATAATGGAAGGTGCAAGTTGTTTTCTCATCATGACACATGAAGATCATGAGTTAGGAGGATTGGGAAGAGAACGAACGTCCAGGGATGGCGGTATTGAACGAGCGGTCGTAGATGAGTTTCCGGACGTTTTTCCGGAAGAGATCCCTGGACTGCCTCATGTTCGTGAGGTTGAATTCACCATAGACTTGGTGACGACAGCAGCACCTATCTCAGTTCAACCGTACCGAATGGCGCCTGCAGAGTTGGCCGAACTTAAGAAACAAATTGAAGAACTCTTGGACAAGCAGTTTATTAGACCGAGCGTATCACCCTGGGGAGCGCCTGTACTCTTAGTGAAGAAGAAGGATGGCAGCTCTCGGCTGTGCATAGATTACAGGCAATTGAACAAGCTGACTATCAAAAATAAGTACCCACTGCCAAGGATAGATGATTTATTGGATCAACTACATGGGGCCTCAGTGTTCTCAAAGATTGACTTGCGTTCGGGATATCATCAGATCAGGGTGAAGGAGGGCGACATCCAAAAGACTGCTTTCAGGTCTCGTTACGGACACTACGAGTATGTAGTGATGCCGTTCGGTGTGACGAACGCACTAGCAATCTTCATGGACTACATGAATCGGATATTCCGACCTTACTTGGACAAGTTTGTGGTCGTTTTCATAGATGATATTCTCATCTACTCAAAGACGCCAGCCGAACATGGGGAACACTTGCGAGCAGTACTAACCGTGTTGAGGGAGAAGGAGTTATATGCAAAGCTGTCCAAGTGTGAATTCTGGATGAAGGAGGTGCAGTTTTTGGGACATGTGGTGTCGGCTGGAGGCATCTCGGTAGATCCAGCTAAGGTACGAGCGGTGTTGGATTAGAAGAGTCCGCGTTCGGTCACAGAGGTACGTAGCTTCGTGGGACTCGCGGGCTACTATAGACGATTTATTGAAGGATTCGCTAAGATAGTAGCTCCGCTAACTCATTTGACCAGAAAGGATCAGCCGTTCGCTTGGACTGATCTGTGCGAGGAGCGTTTTCAGGAGCTGAAAGTGAAACTGACGAGCGCTCTAGTTTTGATTATTCCAGACACGTCCAAGCCCTTTGAAGTATACTGTGACGCGTCTCATCAAGGGTTGGGTTGTGTACTTATGCAAGAGAAGCGAGCAGTAGCGTACGCGTCTCGTCAGTTGAAGATTCATGAACGGAATTATCCAACGCACGACCTGGAATTGGCAGCGGTCGTCTTTGCACTGAAGATTTGGAGGCATTACTTGTACGGGTCTACATTCCAAGTCTTCAGTGATCACAAGAGCCTCAAGTATCTATTTGATCAAAAGGAGTTGAACATGAGGCAGAGGCGTTGGTTGGAGTTTTTGAAAGACTATGAGTTTGAACTGCTGTATCACCCTGGGAAGGCCAATGTAGTGGCGGACGCACTAAGCAGGAAGGCAGTTCATGTCTCGGTGATGATGGTTAGAGAGCTGAATTTGGTTGAGAGCTTCCGAGATCTAAGGTTGCAGTTCGAGTTGGAACCGAACAGCATCAAATGCTGTAACCTTAGAATATCCAGCAATGTCTTTGACCGTATCAGGATGAAGCAACGCGAGGACGAGGACTTGGTGAACATTCTAAGCGCGCTCGGTTCGGATCAAGCCAAGGAGTTCAATACGGGAACGGACGGCCTATTACGATACATGGGTAGGACGTGCATTCCTAATGATGGCGAGCTGAAGCGGATCATATTGGAGGAAGCACATCATAGTCGTCTTAGCATACACCCCGGTATGACTAAGATGTACCAAGATCTTCGACGCTCGTTCTGGTGGCCTGGAATGAAGAGTGATGTCGCTCGTTTTGTGGCATCCTGCTTGACTTGTCAACGTGCAAAGGCTGAACACCAACGACCAAGCGGCTTACTTCAACAATTGGAGATTCCGGAATGGAAGTGGGACAGCATCTCCATGGATTTCGTGACCCATCTACCACGCACGGTCAGGAATCATGACTCAATTTGGGTGATCGTGGACAGATTAACGAAGAGCGCACACTTCCTGGCCGTAAACTTGAAGGTGTCTATGACAAATTTGGCCAAGTTATATATCAAGGAGATCGTTCGTCTGCATGGAGTACCTTCAAGCATAGTTTCTGACCGAGACACGAGATTCACATCTCGGTTTTAGCAATCTCTACAAGGTGAATTAGGAAGCAGACTGCAGATGAGTTCAGCGTATCATCCTCAAACGGACGGCAAGTCTGAGCGGACCATCCAGACGCTGGAAGACTTACTGAGGACGTGCGTCCTAGATCACTTGGGCGCCTGGGATGAAGTCCTGCCGCTAGTGGAATTCACGTACAACAACAGCTTTCAAGCTAGCATTGGAATGGCGCCGTTTGAAGCTCTCTATGGGAGGAAATGCCGAACGCCACTTTGCTGGTTCCAAGATGGAGAGAACGTGCTAACTGGACCTGAGCTCATCCAGCAAACGACCGAGAAGGTTAAGTTGATCCAAGAGAGATTGAAGACGTCTCTGAGCAGACAGAAATCATATGCGGATAGAAGAAGAAGACCATTGGAGTTTGCTGCAGGAGACCACGTATTTTTGAGACTTAACCCAATCACTGGAGTAGGCAGAGCCGTTCGTCCAAAGAAGCTATCACCCAAGTTCATAGGGCCGTACCAGATTTTGAAGAAGATTGGACCAGTAGCTTATGAACTTGCCCTGCCTCCTCAGTTATCAAACCTTCATCATGTCTTCCACGTTTCCCAACTCCGGAAGTACATAGCTAATCCTTCTCATGTGTTGGAGTTGGAGGACGTCCAATTGCGCCCAGACCGAACGTTGGAGTTACAACCAGTACGTGTGGAAGACAGTCGCACCAAGCTATACAAAGGAAAAGACGTTCGTTTGGTGAAGATAGTGTGGGACGCTAAGACTGGTGATTCAACGTGGGAGGTAGAGAGCGTCATGAAGGACTTGTATCCCTACTTATTTATGGGTAAGTTCTAAATTTTCGAGGACGAAAATTTTTGTAGTTAGGGAGAATGTGAAACCCTAGATATTAATTCTGCAAATTATCTGTCACATCACCAATAATACGCACGCCACGTCACGCTCAGAGTAATTAAAGCGCACTTTGCACCGCATGCACGCACGCCACCTGTCGCGAGAGAAGCTTCCAATTCAGAAGTGGGTGTGCAGGTGTCGGCTTGGGAGACGTTCGTTCGAACGAACGTGGGTTTCACAAAACTGGATTTTTGAAAATTTCTCTCTTACCTGCACGCACTCATCTTCTACCTCTAAACTCAACTCTTCATTTTCTCCAACTTCTCTCTAGAATCTCCCAACTTCTCTCTACTGTAACTCACCGAGCTTTTCTCTGATCAACTTGCGTAGGAACGTTCGCCCAATTGTAAGCTACCAACTGGACCGAACAGTTTCAAAGGCTGAAACTGGTAAGTCTCCTTCAGTAGCTCGTCCTTAGGTTTTCTGGAAAACTAGGGTTGTAGTTGCATGCAAAGTAGGTAGTCTAAGTGTTCTGTTTTCTGTGGTTAGATTTGTTTGGAAGAGTCAAGAACATAAGAAAAGTGTAGTTGAACGAAGCCACTTTTGCATCTAGAACAAGTTTGGTTGCCAATCCGGGTAAGGGAAGCTTATATGTTTAATTTATACTTGCATGTTGTATGATCTGATTTGGTTGCATGAAGAGTATGCTGATTTAACTGTCATGAACGTTCGCTGTTAATTGATATGGCATATGTTGGTTGCAATGAATGAATGTGTTTGATATGTATGGATTGAAAGATGAATGATACTGTAATGTATGAGTTATTAATGTGATGAATTTTATAAAGTCTGTAAATGTATGTGGATATGATTTTATAAAGTATGAATCGTATGAAAAATGTTAAAGTTAAGATAGTTGAAAAATCTGAATATGATAACTCCCCTATGATAAATTACGCTCGTCATCGTACGGTCCTATACCGTTCGGTTTCACTAAAAATACTTATAGTAGAATTCTTTCATTTGGGAAGAATTCGGTTTGAGAACGAGCGTCCTCATTTGAATTACTATGTTTGAGCGTTCGGCTCAGCATAGAGTTGTCGTACGCTTTAAATTAAATAATACTGAATTAAGTAACGTTCGGTCTTATACTGAACGTTCGTCCTAAATATCGTTCGGTCTTATACCGAAAGTTCGTCCTAAAGAGCGCTCGGTCTTGTACCAAGCGTTTGTCATGATTGGTTTTCGGTCATCTACCTAGTGTTCGCTTTAATGTAGTGTTCGGTCTTAAACCGAACGCTCGTCCTTATTTTTGATTCCTTAACGAACGTAAACAGCGTTCGTCCAAATAACCAGTAAATGTATATTGGCGCATTCGGTCATTGACTGATAGTCGACCCTTTTAAATAAAAGGTTCCCAATGTAGTTAAGTATTCTCATCGATGTACCTTAGTCCAAGTTGAGTCAACCTGACCTCTTGGTACTTAAAAATTTCTGAAAATGGTCTTATTATTCTGGAGTCTTTCTGATTGTTAATGGGTTATTCTAAATCTGGCTTATAACGTTCGTCCTCTTCCTTCAGAAAGTTGAACGTTCGTCTTTTTAAGAGAGTGGAACATAGAATGAAAATGTTATAAATATGAGATGTTAAGATGTTTGAACGCTATATTAAATGATTATACGATTATGGATTTTGAACGAGCGTTCCAGGGAGGAACGTCTCAGATATGTTAAATATTAAATTTGGTAAAGTATGACTGTGGATAAGTTAAGACTCGCTGTCCATCCTGATGTTCCGTGATGCTCTTCTTCACGTAGAAGAGGGTAGTTCATGTGTGGGAACGGCAGGAGGTCCTTAGTCCATAAGTTAACATGGGCGATGTAAGAACGGACTAACCTCGAGTGGCAGCTGTTGAGAGTGTATCAGTTACTACATCACTCGGGTGCAAGGACGCTTGTACCTACACAGATCATACAGTCCGGACGGTCGTCTTACTTATATATATATATACACATATATAGATGTTGCTTGATTTTATATGTTAAACTATGTGCTTGTGTGGAATGATATGTTCACTGTATGTGTTTTTGTATGAATTAAATTATATAAGCTTA